CGCGATGTAAACATTGACCAGTCAGTGCCAATTACAACACCGGAAGAGAAATTTTTTATGATACCATCGATCGTCACGTAGGTGGGTATGTGATCACTCCCATGAGTCTCAATATCGCAAAACCATTTCACTTTGTGAGAGAAGCACCGTGACACCAATGTCAGGTCCAGGCAACTGCCATACGTGAGACCCCGCAGATATGTGGGGGTACCATCGTTCATGATGGAAAGGTCGTAATCGGAAGCGAATGTAATAATGTTCTGGCCCCTGGCATTCATCCTAGTGCTCCCCCAAAGCATGTGATGGGCGTTGAAGTCACCGGTGATGTTCCAAGGCCCATCGGCCCTCATTAGGATGTCTTTAATTCTGTCGCAGTCAAATCGCGATGACGGAGAGATATATCCACCAATAAGCGTGAACGAAACTGCATCCTTGTTTACACGAAGACACACGTACTGATTGTCGTCATTTGAACTTAATGGGTGCGAAAGATAAGTCAAGTCTGTGCGAATGTAAACAATTACTTTGCTTCGTTCTTCGCAAGCGGCTGAACAAAAAGCTTCATAACCGGACAATCTATAAGGCGTTGATACGTTTGGTTCACATATGACAAGTATAGGGAATTGATTGGCCCGAACAAATTGGCGAAAGTCCGAGATACGGGACTTCATGCCTCTGGCATTCCACTGAAAAATCGACGCACTTTTAACTTCAGTGCGGAAGATGAGATTTTGTTGAGCCATTGTGCTTATACGAAGTTAGCAAGAACTGGATTCAGTGCATCCAGTATTTGCAGTGCACTCTTAGCAGACGGAGATTGTATGCTGCTCAGTAGCGTGCGAATCGTGGCAATTAATGATTGCACGATTGCAGTCACTTGCCTGTCTTGGTTGGAAAGATCTCGAACCAGGAATCGCGGACTGGCCGTCATGAAACTCCTTCGGTTCGCTTGATGCTGCTTCCTTTGAAGTTCAGGCCACTCTGTCGCAGTTAGGGTATGCTCACTGGCTTTGTCCTTTACAGCCTTTTCCACGGCATGTGGTCTGGGAGGCAAAAGAGGTGGTACTGATGAGGGATCAGGCAAACGTGTCGTAGAGGTAGCGGGTGTCTTTGAAGACCGACGTCGACGTGAACGACGCCTTCTGACTTTAGCTGCGACTTCTAGATGAGATGAGTGATCGCGCACCATCTCCTTCAAGATGGCAATTTCCTTCTGAATCCGCGGGCAGTCCTTCGATGTGGCTTCATGGGGTCCATTGCAATTAGAGCATTTCTTGACAGTTGCGACGCACTTATCCGCTTCATGGTGCTCGGCGCAGCGGTGGCATACCACCGAATTCTCGCAGACGCTGCTCACATGTCCAAGTTTCATGCATTTACGGCACTGGAGAGGCTTTGGAGTGAAAGGCCGCACAGCATGTCTGAAGTACCCCACCTTCACATGAGAGGGGAGTGATGTGCTCTTAAACGCAATCTTCACACAGCGAGACTTCCCTAGCCGGGTGACATCAACAATTGGAGTATCAGTTGTTGACTTGACAAGAAATTGTAAGTCATTATTGTAAATGGACACATCTATGTCGTAGATCACGTTGGTTACTACATCACATCCCAAGGGAACATGAGAGCGCACCTGGTTGCCGTCCAAGTTAGTTACACTGCGCAGAACGCCCAACGCACTTGCGTGCAAAACGTCCACAGCCAGTATATTCTTTCTGGCGTTCACTCTTATGTCCGTGATCTCATTTGGCACGAGCGTTTCCAGAGACCTCGACACAGACTGTCTGTTAAGGCGTTTCATGCTGACGGTAGGAAGTGCAGGCAGAAACAGGATGGTATCAGTCTTCGATTTTGGCGCTTCACTTACAGTTTGAATAGTTGAGGATTAGGATGTCCTCATGTTCCTCCTCTTCGCTTTGCGGCTCAGCACAGGTTGGAAACCGTCATCTGAGAAGTCCTCACTGCTGAGATAGTAAGCATGAGTATCTTCACTGTCGCTGTCACTCGCTTGTCCCATCCGCTTCCTGGAGGCGGCCGCCACTGACGCCGCTGGTACCGGCAGGCGCCCGGGGTGGTCTACATCCATCCCCTCTAAGGGAGCAGCGAAAATTGATCAACAGACTTAAGTTACAACTGAAATACGCCGGAGTTAGCAGATGTAGCTCCTATTCAAAACACACTTCTTCGTCTTCTTTCAAGACATAATTAATGTCCCAATCCTCTTGTGCACGTCGTCAAACACTACTTGCCAGATAGTGGCACATACCTGTTGGCGGCGGGTATGTGCCACTGGTATGCGGGTATGTGCCGGAGGTGATTGACACTTAGTATCTACCCAGAAACGATGAGAACACACATGGGTAATTTTAACGCCTGAGCGTTAAGAACCAGATATCGATAACGTTTGTTCGACGAATTCAAGGAATAAATGTCAGGGTTCCAGCTGGAATCAAATTCAAGCATTCCGCGTGACTGTCCAGTATTCTACCAAAGAGCTAGGCCAGGTCTCGGAACTACTTTTCTAATAGGCCCTAATTTTCGTGGAACGTCAATTCTTGTTTCAGTGCTGGCTATTCAATTTTATAAACATTATATATGTACTCCTATGGGCTGTGGTACAGCTATCACGTCGGATTAACGTGAATTGTAGCCAAGTATACGTGCGTTGAAGTTGATTGATGTAGCAGTGTCCAGGCCTACCATCCTCGAAGCTCCATCCCTTCATTTCAGCTTGTCGCTTTTGGTGTGGCTGAAGCTTATGTTCTTGTTGGTATCCTTGCGCAAGTGCAAACAACTGGTTGTGTAAACATCTGCAAGTCTCCAGCTTATTTCTCTGCATGCAACATTCGTACGTAAACTTAGCGTCATTTCATGAAGGTTCCTCAAAAAGATTGCACCTTCCTTCCGTATGCTTCGCCTAACGTCGATTCCCAACGCACACGGGATTTGCCGAATTATTTCCATGGATCGACATAATCGCGTTTGTCGTACACTTATGTCCTTCTCGGCTTAGCGTCCTCACGTAGGCGGCTATATAGATAGATAGATAGATAGATAGATAGATAGATAGATAGATAGATAGATAGATAGATAGATAGATAGATAGATAGATAGATAGATAGATAGATAGATAGATAGATAGATAGATAGATAGTAAAACACTGTGAAAACGTATTGATTGGTGAAAAAAATGCTTCAAGTCGGAAACGTCTGAAGTTCATAAACATGCTTCAAGTGATGCCACAGGATGAATCAATAACAACAACTACGACGAAAAATAACGCCTCTATTGCACGAAAGACACAACAGACTCAAACTCTCCCAACTACAGCAGGTGATTAGCAACGTTCAGAAAGGAACACTTTCCTGTTAAAAGGTTTACACGCACAAAGGTATGGAGGTGAGTGTTTCTTTTTTGTTTGTTTCAGGTTTCATACGTTTTCGTCTGCTGAGGCCAAGGAGATATAGCAATGACAACAGGCCTATTTGCATAAACTACAGCCTCAAAAATGAAGCTATTCGGAGAGCGTAGTTCTGCAGTCGCATGTAGATCGCTCTGTGCACTGTTCAGTAAGAGTGCGCAAGCTTGTATAAGGTATAAAAGCCATAATGTTGAAGAGCTCGTTTCGCGGAAATTCCGCCGTCAATGTTGGCGTAGGCGTTGTTGATTGCGAGCGAAAGACAATCACCTGGTCCATGACGGAAATATCGAGAGTGATAATAATAAATCATAAATAATAAAGATTTCCGGGTACGAGTGAGGATCGAACCGAGGCCGTTTAGAGTGGCAAGCATTCTTCATTGTGAGATATGAAAAAAGCAAGCAGCTGTTCTAACCACGCAGCCACTCGTCTTCTCGGAAATGCAGTGAACATAACTTTCTCGGCTTAGAAACGCAGTGAAACGACGATGGCTGAAGCTTTCGTGCGTCCGTCTCTGTAGGCTTAGAAACGCCGCGAAAATAACTCTCATGCTTTACTTTGCAAACACACGCACCCTGCATGCAGGCTTTGCAATACCACATGTTATATCGCCTTAATATTGCCCGGTACAAGCGCACATTGCCATCAGGCGTCAGCAACATGTGCTTGTCATACTGACTTCATGGTTTCAAGCCAGCCAACCGTTAGAAAACACACACATACTACTGCGCGTATACCCACAAGGCCACCTAGTGGGTGCATAGCTAAGTCAAAAACATTTCACGCGCTGAATAGCTCGTCGTTTAAAGCATGCTACTTGTTACAGAAAATGCAGCCCCATGCGAAAGCTTTACTGACCCAGGCCACATTAAACTTTATCGAAACTACGATTTAAACTTCTCGAGTAACATTATACAATAAAGAGCACGCACAAAGTTTTGGAAGTACGCAATAGGAGATATGATATCGCAATAACGTTCAATCCTTAAAGGGACACCAAAGGAAAACAATTACTTGTTTGAGATTGGTAAACTGAACTCTTATGTCCTATCGTTTTCATAAGTTCGTAGTTAGGAAAGAAAATCAATGTTGAAGTTTAATTTTTAAATTTTGCACCGCAATTTCCGTACAGGGTGAGCGAAATTCCACAATGTGTTCTTCGCATTTTCTGGACATTGGTTTGACGAAATTTTCTGAAACATCTTAGGCTAAGCCTACCACAACCACAGATTACAATGTGCTTCAATTTCATTGATCAGAAGCTACGCAGGACCCAGTAGAGGGCTTCGAAATTTTCTACGTCACAGCGTTTGGTGCAGGAATCTCAAAATGGCGTCTCCTCCCGTAGTTTTTTTTTTTCGCGCGTTTTCTCGCTTATGAAATGTTATATCGCGCTAAAAGTGGTGTTTTCGGGTTTGTAAAATTGGACTCTACTAACACGCGAAAAAAATTATTTTGCTCCTTGAGCAAAGCTTAAAGGTTTCCTTATTTTTGTTTACTTACTCACAATGGCTGTTCTGACGTTCTCTTTTCATGTCTGCACCGCCCAGAAATAATAACCAAAAAAGGACTTTAGTGTGCGAGTGAATGGGGACGAAGAGAACAAGGCAGACGTCACGGCAGTTAGGCCTGTATAAAATGCTCGTCAACAACGACCGTAATACACTTTCAGGCACACTCAAGTTCAGCTTGGACGGCATTTTTGTCTTTATTGGTTGTCCTCGCACAGTTCTCGGTTGTACATCGCTTGTCTGACGTGGCAGTACCGTTCGTAGTTTTGACGGCAGTGTCGAGGAATTTCATCAACGACTTCGGGCTTTACCCACAGCATGCACTCTGAAAGAAGAACAAAATGAAAACAAAAATGCGCACGTGAGTTCTGGAAGACGCTGTGAATTGTGGTGAGACAGTGATTACTCAAAAAAAAAAAACAAATGCTGTGAAACGGCAGAGTTAAGCACAGGTTGCTCCTGTCTGGAAGGACCTATCGCTCGGGGCCGACACCGAAGCCAGCCATTTAAACACAAGTGCGAAATGGCCTTTATCAAACAACTCCACGCATTGCCGCACGTAATAATATTATTCGCATTTAAAAGCGAAAGCTCTTCTGGTAAAAATGCGCACAAAGCAAATCTTCACGTTAAGTTTAATTTTTCAATTCCATATTCTTCAGTAACCCCCTCCCTGATTATGCTAGCAACTTGCAGGCTTCCCTGTGTTAGTTGTATGCAGGAAAAAAGAAACATAATTCAAATGATTGCTCATATTGAAAGAGAGCGTTTACCACGAATGGTTAGTGTGCTCTGGTGCGCTCGCACATTCATTACTTTAGGAAGAACTGCTAATAGCTCGAATCTCAAGAGTACTTACTGTTTACACGGCATTCCGGGTTCACTAGCGTCGCAAGTACTTTTTGAGCGCTGGTTGGTTATACCATCCTTAACGTTTTCAGTTACAGCCAAGCCTCCTCATATCGGAGCTCGAGTGAATTGAAGTGTCCTTTGTAGATCTGGGATTTTCAAGCATGTTGGTCTGTTGGTTGCAGTGAAACCAGCTAAGCTCTATCTACCTTCTACCCCCTTTCATGAAAACAGTTTTCATTCGGTTCGCGATACATTCACCAATGATTGCAAAGGGAGGAGATTTAATAAAATATTTACTAATGTACGACTGAACTCACATTTCTTGCACAAAAAAATTAATGCGAGACTCATTTATACACAGGAGCCAGCCGCATGTCGGCTGCTAGATGCAGTCCAACTCGTGAGCTCGTTTTTCAGATAGGCTAGTGTCGGGAATGCCTGTGCACAAGTATATGCTCTTGAAAGTGATTGTAGCATGTCCAATGTCTCATCTATGGCTCCAGGCTCCAAGCAGGAGAAATGTGAAAGTGGACAAAATAGGACCTCCGAAGATTCTGCGTCATAACATAAGTACACGGCTCGCTTTCGGAGTCGGACTTACTACAAACAGCAGGTGACATTTGTTGCGCAGATCGCGCCTTTCTTAGCGCGTAACCAGTGAAAACGTATCAATGACTTGCGGATCCCCGAAGAAGGGCCTGTGGAACCACTATGGTTCTACGGAACCCCCTTTTAGAAACCATGCTATAAATCGAAGTCTTACCACGCTCTACAGTGCTATAATAAGTAGTTTTAGGATAGCGTACGCTAAGTTGGAGGGTGTTGTGGGTGTGGTGAATGCATATGGATATCATATGAGTTTTCTAATAGTGTTTGTCCTTCGCAAACGCGTACGCACGCTCTAGTCACCATAAATCGGCTTTGTGGACATTGCGGGCCGTACGCTCTTTCATTTTTTTTTTGCGGGCACACTGCGAATGATAGCGGTAGTTATAGTGGTTATGACGCATGCACAGCGAAGGGCCCAACGGATAAGATTGGCGTACGTCATTTGAAAACTACCCAATAACAGTAAATAAAAAGATTTACCGATACATCGAAAAAAATAATCGGAAGAATTGATATATGATTATTCAAGCACTGTAGGTAGGGCTCTGTAGAAAGTCAGCTTACGATCATAGTGAAGGACAAACATTTTCAGCACCAAACATGCGTCGTAGTCGGTGTAGAGGCAATGACCAACGTGATGGTGCGTCGGATCTGAAATGCAAGCAGACATACCGGTTATCAAGGTCTCCAAGACAATAAAATAACAGGTATTGCTGATTGATTGAATTGTGGGGTTCATCGTCCCAAAACCACCATATGATTATGAGAGACGCCGTAGTGGAGGGCTCCGGAAATTTCGACCACCTGGGGTTCTTTGGGTTCTTTAACGTGCACCCAAATCTGAGCACACGGGCCTACAACATTTCCGCCTCCATCGGAAATGCAGCCGCCGCAGCCGGGAATCGAACCCGCGACCTGCGGGTCAGCAGCCGAGTACCTTAGCCACTACACCACCGCGGCGGGCCCAAGTATTGCGACTTCATGTCTCAAGGCATATAATACGAAATATAGGCCGATTTCTACGCCATGGCTAGGAAGTGAAAATTTTAAGAAAGAAAATTCATTATTAACATCAATGAGTGGTGTCTAACGAATAATTATAGAGAGTTCACGTAGGCGTCCCTGTTAGAATGCCAGTCGATAGATGACCGAGTGCGACCTATAGATAACGACATGACCACTATGTTTTTTTAGGGGCGAAGCAACTCAACACCTCACAATCTTTATCTGACTGCTAAAGTCTAAAGACGACGTAGCACTCGTGAATGCGAACGAACGAAAACATCTGTGAACAAGAAAAAAGTTTTGAGAAGGCTGTTAAGCAGAACAAACAAAATAAAAGGCCACAACACCGTACAAACACCGACACGCAGCCACCCATCAATCAAAAGAAACAACATATAAATGCTTACAAGAGCAATAACCCATGACAAAAGAGAAGGCCATGATTCATGGTCTGATGCACACTGCTTCGCTCGATCATAACCATTCACGCCATAGATATCGCTGCGTACGCGTCAGCACATTGACTGACAATACTTTTTTCTCTCTCTCTTTCTCTTATTATTCCTCTCTCTCTCTCATCTTTATGCCCCCTTCCCGTTCCCCCAGTGTAGGGTAGCAAACCAGGCATGCGCCTGGTTAACCTCCCTACCTTCTCTCTTGTTGTTATTGCCCTCCTGTGATATGAGTGGATAATGTTTCGTTTGCATTGCTGTCTTTCAGGCAGCCAAATTTCAGCCGTAAATTGAAGCAAACAATTCTTTATAAAGACAATATGCATTTGCCCAACCATCTACGCGAGGCGGCTGCAAGGCTCTTATTTTATATGCGAAGCAGCTTTTGCTTGGGGCAGTGTCAGTCCCTCGGCGACCGTCCTCTCCCCAACAGCGCATGCCCCAACTCTTCCCTCTCTCCTCGCGTGAGTGCGAGAAGGCAGGGTGGAGAAAGTGGCGTGATCACTGCATACGCTTCGTTTCTCCTCTCCCGTTTTTCTCTCTTCGCCACAGCTCGGCGCTAGCATGTAATGCGGTGTAGCGCTCGCTCCCGTTGCACTCTCCTTAAAAATGGTACTTTTGATGTCCACGTTGGCGATGGCCTCTAAAATAAAGACGCAACAGGAACATGTACTACCAACTTTTTTGTTCTAATAATAAGAACCTAATAATTACACCATCGCCCACTGAAGGGGGCTATGTGAGGACGCGAAGCAGCGCTGGACATTCACTTTGCGGCACACACATGGTGATCCACACAAATGGCAGGAGAAATAATATAAGCGATACACAACATATACAAAACTATCCGCACACAAATGAAGCATACGCGGAAAAATACAAATGGAAACAACAAATGGAAACACAATTTAACACACCAGCGCTGCTTCGCACACCCACATGGTTACATTTAGTGGGAGATTGTGTGATTTTTTTTTACTCGTCTTTCACTAAGATTATCGCTTATCTTGTCCCTGGTCTGCCACGCAAAGGTTAATTTGATAGAGACTGAGCCTGGATACACGTACGCAAGAGAGAAGACAACAGCCACAAACGCCGGCTAACAACTGAAACAAAAAGGGCACAAAGCAGCAGAAAGAAAGGTAGACACAGACAGTGATCTGCACATGTCTAGGCAAGAGGCGATATCTTTCTAGCATGGACATGCACAGATAAGCAACTGATAGCGATGTTGCGTGTCACCGGGAAAAAAAATGAACACTTATATTTCACTTCGCGCAATGTGTTCAGCACTTCAGAACTGAATATTACCATCCTCCCCACTCAAAAGGAGAACGTTTTTGCACGACTACAAAGCGCAATACCACGCTATAAAAAGAGCATCCCCTTGTACACTTCTACACATCTCATGGTGACACGTCCACACTAACACAATGGTGTTGACAGCTGTAGATAGATCTTACGGCCAGTGTGAGCTTACCATTGTCGATATAGTAGGTGGGGCGGTCAGGGGAATCTCCTTCTTGCCAATTGACAGTAAGGTTTCTTCTGAAATATTGAGAAACAGGTTTTAACGCTGCAATTTTAAAAGCACGTTAACGATTCTAGTGAAACAAGTACCTGTGCTTGTAAGGATGTCTCTCAATCAAGTACATCGCGAGTATGACAGACCAAGATTGACTGCATGACCTGCTCATTTGCTTACTGCTACGGTCATTTCAACTTCGGCCTTTGTTTTTGGAACAGCGAACAATAATTCAATTGTTCATAATTGTCTTGAAGAGTGCGGTGAACAAAAACACAACACGAAAAACGTTACAGGCGCGTCCCAGGCAGTTACATGCACTGAATGCAAAGTAACTTTGACTGGCTTATCGACATCCGCGTTATCGGGACGTAGTTGGGAGAACGAGAAATGCAGATGCAAAACGTTAATAATGCTCTATTGTCGGAGCACGTGTTACGCATGCACTACCCCCCCCCCCCCACACACACACAAAAAACAAAAAAAGAATCAGAGATACCAACTAGACTACGTCCGCTTTGTTATTCTACACGTGAGGAGATGCCGCAGGAAGTAAAAGGAGTAGATCAAGAAAGAAGAGATGAGAGCACACACTTAACCGGTAACCAGATTAGCTTTTCTAACGAGAAAGTGACTGCTCCATAGAATAGAATAGGGTCTCTCGCAGCAGTGGTGAATAACCAGCGTTTCGAAGCTGTGTGCAGACCGCCAAGAAGGTTTTTAAACATCCTTGGTGCTCACTTATTTCGGCGAGATGCAACATCTTCAAGGAACAGCGATTATCAATTCCAATGACAGCCGATTGTCGCCAGCTGTTGATATTGCCAACTCTTGTTTCCGCCGCATGTGGTTTTGGGGTGTCTTATACGAACGCCTTTGCTTGTCGCATCTAATGGGCAGACAGTGCTGCTCGTGACCATTGCGGGGCTGGCAAAACCATTGAACACATTTTGTGTCAGTGCCCTCAGTACAGATGTCGCAAACAGTCACTGTCAGTAGTGGTTGCACGCCTCGACCACCAACCGCTGTCTGAACAATCAATTTTGAAATTCCGGAAAAATCAAGTTTCACTCCGAAAAACGTTGAAGGCCCCCTCTTGAAGTTTCTGTGAGCGACCCGCCTCTTCGAGCGATTGTGACGTTCTCGTGGGTGTGTGTTTTAGCTTGCCTCCCTCTCGCTCATTGCCTTGCCTCTTCCTTACTTTGCTGTATATATATATATATATATATATATATATATATATATATATATGATCTGGTTGGTACGGCATTGTAGTGTGGTTGCGCTGAGCCAAATGCACAAATGACTTACGGAAAACAGAGCAGGACAGGAAAAAACGTGCGCAAACTTTCAACCGTCAATTTTCGAAAAAGGGCATTGATGATATACCCGAAACATTGAAGTTGAATGGAATGTCAGAACGTGGTATTCATGAAAGGAAATAATTTCAGACAATTCGTCGAGACTAATCCGACAGTATAATCTTATGGTTGGCAAAGAAGTTAAAGGCGGCCTCATTGAGGCCATAGCGTTCACGTTGCAAACGACACTAGAAATAATGGAGGCCTATTACATGTTGAAATCCCCTGATCACGTGAGCTCGGGATCTGTTGCCCTCCGTCAAGAAAACTAACATCACTGAAAGCCGCTAGATTAGTTAGACTATATACACACGTAGAACGCGATCAATCACCTGTAAAGCCGTGCTTTCACGAACATGACGTTGTGACATAATTCCTGTTAGCTTAAATGTTATCGCGTATATACTTGACGTGCTTGGACTCGCTTTCTGGATTTCGTGCCGACCGGTTGTGCCACCGCAATCTCCGACGACAGCGCAGCTCTGGCCGACTGGCTCGCCTTAAGCCATCTCCTGCCGCTAACAAGGGCTCTCGCTGAGTGGTGCCCCGTCCTCGCACTCCAGAGACCATGTCCATCTTTCCTATCTTCTCATTGGTTCTGGGTGTCGCTGTTCTTGCGCCACGCTCTCTCCTTCCTCCTCTCTATCTCTAATCCTTTAATCCATTCCTTTTAATATCTCCTGACCCCCATCCCTCGTGAGCTACTCTCGAGGTGTCACACTCTGATGCAGACAGTTACGGGGCTCACTTTTATCTTATTTTCTCTTTTAAGAATTACATAAGAAGACATGACGTGCTTTTGCGAGAATAAACTTCACTCAACGGCGGTGGCTGTTGTTTAAAAAAAATGCTGGTTATTCCGTCCCAGAGATTGCGGTCATAGACAACAATGAGAAGAAGCTCACTTGGCAGTTCCACCGTGCCCTTTCAGTTCCCAGACATAGCTGCCCTTCTTCTGCTCAAGATCCACGTATGAACGAGTGGCAGTTGTGCACAGCATAACGGTGTCGTTGGTAGAAGTGAAGACGTTCACGAATTGGGGGAACGCTTGTACCACCTGAAGGTGAGAAAGGAGAGAACAAATTAGAATGCACCTTGTGTTGGAACTTGAATTAGCATGATGCGCTCAAACGTAAATTCCATGGCTAACTGCATTTTAGCTCTTAAAACATTGTACACACCGAAATCCTGAAGGTACCACGCACTGTGCGAATCGATGTAAGGAAAAGCAGTGTGCGAGGAGCTGCATACATCGCATTCTCCACACTTGCAGGCAAATGAAGGCGTTCGTCATGACTTGCAGTTCACTGCATGACACGGCGAATGCTTTCATTGTCCCGTGTTTTTCATACATGTATGTACATTCGAAAATCTGCTCTACCCCACGCTATTTAAACGCAAAATCTCGTGGCTTCAATGCATGTCCTGTCACTTATGTTCGTCGGGAACTCATACCATGCCCACCAATTCCCACATGTATGCTGCCAACAAAACAGCTGGAAGTTCACCGAGGAAGTGTCACAAAAGCCATTCGTACATGACAATATGATTAGGGTACGCATTCTAGGACCTTCCATTTACGTTCATCATACTATAATGTCACGTCATAGCACTTTCGGTATGTATCTAGTGAACGAAATGATTACGAGGGATTGAAGATTTTGTAGTGTAAATCATGATGTACAATATATGTTTTATGATTTTCACCTTACGACCTGTAATTTATCATCGTGTGCAATAAAGTCGCGCTATACGCATCATTTTTAGAAAAATTACATGTACTGAGGATCAAATATTCTTAAATGACAGCTTGACACGTGTTGGCCAATGGTGCACGTTGTGGTCCATGAAGTTAAACTCGGACAAGACTGTTCTACTGCGAATCGCAAATAAAAGAGAGCCGCTTAAGTTTTCTTACTGTATCGATGGAGTGACTGTTAAAGAAAACCCGGAATACAAATATCTAGGGGTTACAATTACCAATACGTTATCGTGGTCTAAGCACATTGGAAATACCTGCGCAACTGCCATGCGCAGGCTTGGGTTCATAAGGCGCAAACTTAAAGCTGCCCCTACAGAAGCAAAACTGTTGGCTTATAAGACCTTAGTGTTACCTAAGCTTGAATACGCCAACATTGTTTGGGACCCCTTTTCTAAGAAAGACAAGCAAAAGCTAGAAATAGTGCAGTGCCGAGCAGTGCGCTGCACCATTTCAACAAGTACAGATCCACTGATTCCCTATCTTCGTTGATGGTGCAAAATGGAATTTCAACTTTAGAGCAGTGACGTAAACTAGCCCGCCTAAAATTTTTGTTTTCGCTTTTCATGGCCACCTGAAGCTTAACGCAAACCCTTATGTCAAGCCGTTCTTACCTCGAGCATCGAGACATCGCCACTCACACAATCTTCTTCCTTACAAAGCTCGCACAAATCTATTCAAATACTCTTTCTTCCCGCGGAAAATTGCCGATCGGAATGCATTACTGAGTTCGGTTTTCTCTGCGTGAACGGCGGCCACTTTTTCAGCGAAGGTGTTTGCTGCCCTAGAATAATTATCGTCTTTGTTTCAGAGGTTTGCTGACCTATTGCTGGTGTTTTTCTAGTTTTTGTGTAGCTCTCGAACGGCTGAGGATGTTTTAGTCGTGGGTTTTCATTGTTTGTTAGGAAAAGTGCGTATTTGTCTGATTTTTTTTTTGAAGTTGAAAAATTTAGGGTGGTCCTTGAATGTACGAGCTCTACTGTATAATGGTTTTGCTTGCTTGACCTAGAGACAGTGTGATCGTTGCAAATTTCTAGTTTACAATGAGTTTTGTACTCTGCAACGTTTTTTTGCCTGAAAATGTGTGTATAAATGTATGTTGTGTGTATTTGTTTATATATCTATACTGTTCGTGTGTATGACCAAAACATGCTAATTGATATGTATTCACCGCTACCATGCAATACATGTAGCTTTCCCATCTGCCCTCCTGCTTGGTCCTTATAGGACTGCAGTGTGTAATAAATAAAAAATAAAAAATAAATAATTGTTACACATCAAAGTAGCGAAACGGCTATGAGCGCACCATTAGCGCGGCATGTAAATATTGCCGTGTATACATGACGGAATTATTATTTTAGTGTCTGCACCTGTTTATGTTCGTCATGCAGAAAGGTATCGACATGCCAAGTGCGGTATGTGAAGCTATAGAAACGGCCTCCAGTGCGCCATGAGTGGGACATGTAAATCATGCACTACAGACGACAAGAATGTCATGATTTTATGTTGCAACCTGCCACTTACGGTTGTCATAAAGTAGCGTCTCGCAATACAAATTTTGCCATATATCAAGCTAGCGAAACTGCCTTCATTGCATCAAAAGCGCGGCACGTAAGCCATGTCATGCGTAACATCGTGTGCCATAGCTTTCACGTTAGCGCGTGTTGTTTACATTCTTTATACAAAAATTTTGCGCATAACTTTCGGTATATGAAGCTAGAGAAACGGCTTCGAGCGCACCATCACTGTGGCATGTAATTTACGTAGGACGGGGCATTCATGTCATGATTAGGTCACAAGCTGCTTTGTATGGTCTCATCGCTGTCTGAACGATGCTTAGAACGGCTGTTTGAGGTCATGTATCTATCGCTAATATTTGTTACATTGCCAGGACATCCTTGCAAAAATATATATGCCGAAAAATGTGACAGTTTCCTTTCATGTCTATGTATTTCCTGAAAACTAGCAGTAGCACTGGGAGAAATTCTTTAATCCATATTAGATGATTCGCCGTTTTAAAGAGAAAGCTCTTGTGTTGTGGGGCAAAAACGTACTCGATACCAATTTAGAGTTGTGCGTTTCCCACTGTCTTTTTTCCGATGTGGAGAGATTAAAAGTGCCAAGGGCAACAAAACATAAAATGGAAACAAAATGCTTGAGGTTCATTGACTTGTAATTCAGATGTACGTTAAAGAACCCCAGGATGGTCGTAATTTCCAGGTCCATCCAGTGTGGCATCCCGCATAATTACAGAGATTTTAAGACGCTAGATCCCAGTAAGTGCCATTACTCTTGACCAGTAAGATGTTCCATTGATTTAGAGGCTGAAAATTAGCCTTGTTGGGATATTTTTGTACTTTCTAATTAAGAAAACCAGCGTAGCAAGCAATTAGTAAGGCTAGGTCAAAACAGAACCAATGGGAACCTAGCTTGTTTTGTCTTTGCTAGGCGTCTAGCTTCTCACCTCTATTTCTCATCAGCTGCTATATACTATTATACAATGCATCGCTGTTAGAGGACGCCCGTTTCAGCCTGTCATACATTTTGGAGTACAGCCCTATGAAACACACGGACGGACACTCATTGCAGGCACGATGGGTGTGCTCACCTACGACATATATTTATTGCCTTCAGCAGTGAAAGCCCCGTTGTGCTTTCCGGGGAACACGGGCCAATGTGAATGCCTTTGACTTTTGCATAGTACCTCCACTGCACACGCGTCATCCCATTTACTATTCATTTTCTCGTCTATTTTCCATCTATCTGCTCTTTCTCTCATCCTTATACCCATCTTTCTCATTTCCCCATAGAAGGGCTGCCAACGTACATGTGCCTGGTTTACTTCCCTGCCTTCTCTCTTGTTTTTCTTTTTCCTCCTTACCAGAGCAATTATGTGTGCCACAATCGTTAAAAACTCGCTGTGAGAGTCTCGTTTTACCAGAATTGACAGTTAGCAATAAAAGCAATCTGCATTGCTGGTTTAGCTGCGGAGACAGTCACGTGGCGCATGCATGCACCATTGTTGTGGCAAAACGTGATTGTCGCAGTAAACTTTGAGTGATTATTGCACACATATTTGCAATCAAGAGCGCAATAAAAGTCTGTTGTTAGTCAGCGCCCGTCGTGTCTACTATGCGCCTGTCTCTGTGTGTCGGAGCACCGCACCACAAAATCGTTGACCACAAACCTGCTCACCCAAACCAAAGTTTTTCTTGGCCAAATTTCAGCTTGTCTTGTTAACTATCTGTGCAAAGCGCTTGGCCAGTGATTGAGCGTGGGCTGGTGAATGTTGATGATAATTCGTTATCTACGACACATGGCGAACTTTTGATGCAACAGCTCTGCCGCAAAAGACCAGAAATGTGTACAAAAACATTCTATTCAGAAGGTATTCAGCACTACATTTTGTGACCGGCCATCGGCCCCATACAAAAAGAAGTGCTGCAGTCAGCGAGACAGCGTTGATTACATTGTGCTCGAGGAGCAGATAAGGAGGCCAGAGAGACTGTGATGCTGAGGCGGGTACAGAACGTGCCGTACATGAGTGGTTGTTGGCTTCCGTCCGTTCAGCAGAAAAGGAATCAGAAAGGCAAGCTTTGAAGGCAGGGTTATCGTTGCCTTCATGATAGTGACGTCGGCTGGTGACGTCGGCCTACGCGGGAAGCCTAAAAGGGCCGTGAATCGTTTGAAGTAAACGTTGAATGGTTTAATAAAAAAAAACTTATTGCCTCACGAATCGATGGTCGCATAAGTTCTTATAACTTCTCAAGTATGAGTGGAGCTATAGGAACTAGACGCATGGTTTAAGCGCTTTATCTCTCCATTCGTACAAGTGAGCATAGTGAAAGCTACGCGGATGGAGAGAGAGGGAGAGGGCAAAGGTGCAAGCAGATGCACCCCTTCGTCAGCGTGCGTCATGGCTTTGAGCACTTTTTTTGCCTTCGCGCGTGTGCCCTATCTTCCAGTGTGATAGCGAGAGCTCGCAAGGACGCGTGGCGGCATCCCGCGGCAGTCGCCGTCACTACGCCGATCATCATCAAATGGGCCATTGGCTGCCGACTGGTTTTATGACGTGACCATTTGTGTTTAGGTCGTCATTTGCATAGGGAAGCGGGATTATTCTCTAGCTAACTGAGAATTGCGCGTATGTTCTATGCCACTAGTCGCGTTGCGTTATATTGTTTGCCTCGCGTGTTCTGAGGAGCCTCCCAATCAACCAGCAAGGTTTTCGGACCCTGCCTAAACAACGAAGCAGGGCCCCTTTAATCACGTGGCTCCTACCAACCTATAAGTATGTTTCTCAGTGGTAAGAATGATACATACAATGGGCATTTGTTTGTAGTGCGAGTCATTTTCGTTATTTGAGCATGGCGCAGGCTTCGGCGGCCAGTAGAAGAGGATAATGACGTTGGGCTGAACTGTGACGGATTTGCTGACAGCCATGCTCTCATTTACTTGCTTTTTATTACCACGAAAAACTGGTGGAGGTGCTGGGTTACGATCATTATTTAGGCACCTATGTACACATAATAAGTAAAGTCACACTCGTTTACAAAGATTTGTTCAGGCTCGTGGCCCTTGGGAAAGCCAACTGCGTTTTCGTGGCAATGCCATGCTGATGCTTTGTCCGGGGCTCAGAATGTCTCAACTCAAAGCATGAGACTCATTAAATATTGTCACAGTTTACGTAAGCACTTAAGACATATTGGCTGGTGTGGGAATAGCCAAACTTAATCCAACACCCTGTTTTTAATGCAACGTAATCCAACACCCTGTTGGTTATTTCATTTTCTTGACTAAACTACACCCCTCTTCCAATCCTCGTGATCTGTGCTGTCTCACGCAGTCTCTAGATGACTCAGTTGCTTTTCTACAGCAAACAACATGTATGCGTGAGTGTAAGTGAGCAAAATAAAGTTAATATTGAATGACATAATTTATTTCATTTCTCGTCGTTTTTTCATAGAATAAATTGGACACATGATCCACGAAGACAGGGCCAGTTTGCATATGCCACTGAGTATTTTTTTTCAACGTCAGAGTGCTATGCGTGTGTCGTGCGATGCTGCAAAGTATGCACGGCAGTCTGCGGGAGCAGTACTCTCGTGCAATGTAGTTGAGGAAACGGCAAACAAAGCATGATACCCTTAAGAAAATCACTAATGCACGCTAGAGCATTCATCCTGAGTGGCATAATTCGTGTTGAGCCTGGAAGGTGATGACACAAATGTCGAAAAGCAGTGATTGCGATGGCCTTGAAATACAGTCCCAATGAGTTCTTGAAATAATGTAGAAAAGTGGGCTTTTTGAAACACATGTTCATGACTAATGTCAATAAGCGAAAAAAACTAACTCAAAAAAAACAAGAAAATGCACGACAAAAGCGCCATCTAACAACTGAAACATTAATAAGAAAAACGTAGCGTATATACACTAAAAGATGACATTAAAACATTTTATAGACACCTAAAACCTAAACGAAATCACATTGATGAGGCAAAAGGAGCAGCACACGCTTTGAATTCTTGAAGCGTTTGAAGAATAAATCAAAGCAAAAGACTGGTGCATGGGCCAGTCCTTCATCGCCCTCACAGATGCTGAGGTTATCTATCGGCAGCACACGGGATTAGATGGTTAGTCGGGACCTATAAGATTTTTTAGTGTCTTCCTTTGTGATCCTTTTTAGTGTCTTCCTTTACAGATCCTACATTTCCTTCTTTAAACTTTAAGCCGTTGTATACAGCACTTGCATTGTGGCAGCTTGGGCTAGTTGGTATGACATGACGATAGTTATAATGCTATAACTATCGTCACAGCACTTGCGTCGTGCACTTCACTGTTTTTTGTGCCCTTCTTTTTTTTGCGCAGGCTGTCATTACTTCTTGAAAATCTACCATGATGAAAGACTGCTATGAAAGGTTTGTATCCACCCGACCAAGCTCATTCGGTAAGGTCGCGCACGGCGTGACATCTCGCACCCCCTTTCTTTTTGGCAACGCGTCTTCCCGATAAACGTAACCGACTCAGCCTGGCAACCATTTCCTCGCTCGCCTGACGCGTTCCCGGCAAACGGCGCCCTGCAGCTTCCTCTGCCTATTCTGCCCTTGCCATGAAAGTGCCTGTCTGGTGTCAACGAGGGCTACGGGCAACGAGACCAGAGGGGTAAAAAGAGCGCCCGGAAAAAGACGCTGGGGCTTGTTGCTACTAGGAGAGCTTGGCGGCACGACCAGCTTAGGCCCCACTGCGGATCATACTTTTGCTGTCACATCTGCATTGTAAATAGTTTTGTACATAAAGTTCTATTTGTAAAAGGTCCAGCGGCGAAAGTGCCTTCTTTCGGGGAAAAGTCACGAAGACAGTGGTGATCCCCCTCGCGAAGCAACGAACGCGGCTTTGCTTCGCCACCAAGAACCAGGTTCGTGCCGCATTCCCAGTTCGGACGAAAGCTTCCAACTTCAATAAATGTTCCCCGTTCGTTTCCAGCTTGTGGTGATGTACACGTTTGAAAATACGAATGGCACTATGGTCTCAGATTATCAATCTAAGAATATTTTTGCAAGGAATTGTCCGAAGTAGGGAAATGATGGCGTGTAAGGGGAGGAAAACCATATATTGTAGAATTTTCTATCACTTCCAGTTCACTGTCTCCGTCTTTATTACATTCATACAAAAATCTACTTAAGAAACGTTGCGTGAAACTTACCCTAACGAGGTCAACAGGTTCTGGACGACCCGGTAGAAAGCCACCAGCTGCCATAGTTGCAAGCGCCAGGCATGTCACCAGATTCGATGCGGCCATTTTAAAGCAGGAAGTTCCTTCGACGTTAACTCTTTCGCGGGAGGCGTCAATATGCTCATGTGACGAACGTGCGGCCTCTCTTATGTACAGCACTGGGCCATAAACGTCTCAGGAGGTTCATGCAGACAGTTTCTACCTATTGGCAAGAAGGTGCTAGCTGAGACTCACAATGTGCAAATGGAAGGTAACGAGCCACTTCAAGTGTCGTTGCTCGAACCGCCACTTATCTACTGGTTTTGAGCATCAGCGTGTTTGGAGGCCGAGGTGTGCGGGCTTTCTTGTGCTTGCACTACATGGCCTACACGACTTAGGCGTGCATACAAACGACGGACGGCTCCGCGGAAATCTTTTCCGTGGGCTGTGGTACCACCACCCGTCCTGCTGAGAAGCGCATACAGACGGTGTACAAAGCGAGTACATGAACGCGACCAAAAAAAGCATGGCGGCAACGTTTGAAGCAACGCCTGTTTGCTTCGGATCTCCAAGCTATCACTAAAATCTTATCATTTCCATTGCTTGATGCATTGTCCTCAGCCTAAATTTAACCGTCTAGTGATCCTCCAGGTTTCTGTTCCGTAGCTAAGTACCGGTAAGCTGCAGCTGTTATACACGTTCTTTTTGAGGGATAGTAGTAAAATAATTATTCATGATTAAAGAATGCTTGCTGAATGTGTCGCTCTCATTCTTATTTTTCTGATTACTTCGATATCAGGACGACGCAGCGAGCAATGAAATGGAAAATGATAGGTGTAACCCTAAGGGACAGAAGATCGCAGTGTGTATCAGGGAACAAACGGATATTAAGGACATCATACTCGAAATTAAGAAGAAGAAATGGTCATGGGCTAGGCACGTAGCACGAAGGCAAAACAACCGCTGGTTATTGAGGATCACAGACTGGATTCCTACTGAAGACAAGCGGGTGAAGGGGAGACATAAGTTAAGGGGCCAGATGAGATTAGGAAGCTTGCGGGTATAAAGTGGCAGCAGCAAGCACAGGGATGAGTTGACTAGTGGAACATGGCGGATTCCTTTGTCCCGCAGTCACGCCAAACATGCGCATAAGAGTGTTTTCACACTCGTCGTTTGGCTCTGACTGTCACTCCTACTTCTAAATTCACATATAAACCCAAAAAAGTGGATGGAGGGAAGGCCGCTGTGGTAGCTCAGTGGTTAGAGCATCGAACGCGTTATTCGAAGGTCGTAGGTTCGATTCCTGCTCACGGCTGGTCATTTCTTCATCCACTTTTTTTCTTCTTATTTACATTTCATTGGTTCTAATAACTTCCCCCGTACATTCCTTGGCATTACTGTGTGTTAGATCTCATTAATATTGTGTTAAAACACAGAAAAACGAGCCCTTAGGTATACACTTCTTTCCCTTATATATATATATATATATATAGAAGGGATTATAGGAAGTATCACGCAGGCTCTGATAGTATAGAAAAAGGAGTAATTCACACACAACGAACGTTTCAGCACAGTTTAGTCCGACGTTTCGACCGTGGGACCGGCCTTCGTCTGGGAATACAGGGCATAAAAATCGCGCGCTTATATATGTCAATATTCGAGACCCCCCCAAAAAACACACATGCTCTTGTGTAACGAACAAGGCTCATCTGTATCAGCACAAAAACGGTTTTCAGTGATCAAAAATATATATCTATACAGCACTGTGTGATGTCACCATTTGTAAGTCATTGGCAGCTGATACGGCTTTGCGGGATACACGTGTGCATCGCGACATTACGGATGTCAAAGCTCTTTTCTTACAATAATGGTTCGCGTGTAAAATATACGCGTTGCCGATGATAAATAATTCTATTATATATATATAAGAATCGCTGTTTCTGTATACATTATCAGCACAGCGCACTCTCTGATAGAGAAGCAGACTAGCGTACACTTGTTATATTGTTGACCAATAAGCTTACGTGGAAGGAAGACACGTCAATGTGCCTGCATCTTCATTGATACCATCTGCTACAGTATTGAACTTGAATATCAGGTATGATTCCCGGAGTTCGCGATCATGGTTTGAGCGGAAACCAGATTCAAGAATGGTCGCTTTCATTTGATCGAAAGAGTGGCCCGGCATGCGAACGTGTCGTGATAGCGGTAGATGAGGGAATATATTTACATGGGATTTGTGGTTATTAAAGCGTATTCTGAATGGAGTTTCAGTATGACCAATATATTGTTTCAAACAGGCACTACATTCCAACATGTATACGGCATTATAAGTGTCGCAGTCGAAGCTACCACGAATCTTTAATTTAAAGTCCGAAGACGTGCTCGCGGCGTTTTGCGTGGTTTGCATGTGCACACACACTTTGCACCGTGGTTTGTTACAAGGTGCACAGCCACTCTCTTTACGGGTACCAATTTTAGATGACGTTAACATGTCGTGAAGGTTTTTTGACCGTCGGTAAACAACACGAGGCGGAACAGAAAAAATTTTTTTGAGATTATCACTTTCGGTTAAGATGTTGTGGTGCCGTTTCAATATAGCAGATACCTTAGGAGCTGATGATGAAAATGTCAGAACAAGGTTAGTTTGAGCAGAGCTATCGTTCCCGTCCTTTCCTTTCAGAATCTCGGTGCGGTTGAGTTGGTCAGCTCGAGTTATGGCATCGTCTATTAGTTTTTCCGGGTATTTTCTTTTTACTAGAGAACTTTTGAGCCTATTACAATTTTCAATGAAATCTGTACGGTCAGAGCACAACCGTTTAAAGCGGTGAGCCTGGCTATAGGGAATTCCTGTTTTGCAATGCCGGGGGTGGCCACTCTGAAAATGCAGGAGTTGATGTCGGTCAGTAGGCTTGCGGAACAGCTTCGTAGCAAGTTGTCCTTCGGAAATGGTGACTGTGACATCGAGAAAATTTACAGAAGTGCGCGAAAATTGGTGCGAGAACTTAATAGACGGATGGAAATTGTTAAACTTTTGAATGAAACCAAGCAGACTTGCTTCATCATGTGTCCAGACAAGAAAAATATCGTCAATGAAGCGCCTATAGTAGAGAGGTTGAAGCATGTTTTTACCTAAAAATTCGCATTCCAGAATGCCCATAAAAATGTTGGCATAGTTAGGGCCTACTTTCGTACCCATTGAGGTGCCGTTGGCTTGTACATAGTGAATGTTGTTAAACTCAAAATTGTTTAATTCAAGGATAAGTTTCAAAAGAGTACCAAGCGCTTCTTTATCAATAGTTTTATCTAAAGGGGAATTTTCATAGGCCTTTATTACTGCAGAAATACCATCTTTATGCGGTATGTTGGTGTATAGTGATGCTACGTCCAGCGTTACTAACATTGAACCAGATGGAACATGAAGATCTACAATTTCTTGAAGGAAATGGTTGGTGTCTTTGATGAATGACGGAAATGTGGCTGGAATCTTGTTTATGAGGGAGTCAACGTAACGAGATAAATTTTCGGTAACGGTGCCGATTCCGGAAATGATGGGGCGGCCGGGATTATTCTGCTTGTGAATTTTAGGAAGCATATAAAATCTTCCCGCTACGGGACTGAGTGGTACCAAAGAGCGGACTGTCTTTTCATCTAATTTACCATGTTCTAGTAAAGACGTAAGTGCGTCCTTAAGCTTAGATTTAAATTCGCTGGTAGGATCGGAGGGCAAAGCTTTGTAAAAAGTGGCATCTGAAAGTTGCCTCTCGGCCTCGCTTATATAATCAACCGCGTTGAGAATTACAATGGCCCCCCCTTTATCGGCTGGTTTGATGACGATGTCATGGTTTGTCGACAACTGTTCGAGAGCAACCTTCTCTTTTTTGGACAAATTGTGGCGGTAAGGCGCAGTTTTCTTATAGGCAGCGAAAATGTCGCGTTGTACAGCGTTTATGTAAATGTCAAGACATCTGTCGCGATGTGGTGGGGGTGTCCATTGTTTATATGTCGGTAGTGCAGGTCTGGTTTCATTCGGGCTTCGGCGGTCATGATAGTATTCTCTCAGACGCAAATTACGGGAAAAGTTGTGTAGATCCTTCAGAAGTTGAAACTCGTTGAAGCCACCTGAAGCGGGGCAAAAGTTGAGGCCCTTTGACAGAGCACCCATTTGTTCGTTGGAAAGAACTATGTTTGAAAGGTTTACAACGCTGCTATCTATTTGAGAAGACTGGTCTTTCGAATCATTCGAACGTGTTGCGGCGCGTTTGGTTACCTCAAATTCGCGTTCGTGCGTACATAAACCATCACGTAGAAACTTCTTCTGTTTGGTTGTGTTTAACTTGTTCCTCTTACGTTCTTCATAGGCAATTAAACATTCAGACTCATGCACTGCTAGCTTCTTTAACAGGCGAGCTTCTGTATGCTGAAGGTCTTGCGTGCAAGATTTATAATGGTCAATAATTATGGGTATGAGATCTAAGGACGCTTTACTTAACACTTCTTGCCATTTGGTTTTGTTAGAGGCCGAAAGTTCAGAAGTAGCTGGTTTAAATCTTATCTGTAAACCTTTCGGGACCACCGAAGCATTCAAGTAGCTCGTAAGTGAGAATACGTGTAGCTCGGAACGAACTCTTTTCTCAATAATTTTCCTAGCTTCTAAAAACTCTCGCGAAGGAAGACTTGAAACATTGCCTTTAAGCGCAGGCGCCTGCCGTCAGTCGGTGGCACTCCCTCGACCAGCGTTCCGGCGGGTAGGGTAGCGATGACCCGTGGTGGCGGGAGCCTCAGTTCGGTTTTGCCGAGTTGTGTCTTGGCTTGAAGAACCGGAGTTGTGTGTAGCACCCGCAGGGGACGTTTGTTGGCGCCTCCTGGGGGACGTCGGCGTAGATCGTTCTGGGGGTTCGCAAGGTGGGCAGTCACGCCATGATGATGTAGTTCCTAGGAAACGTTTGCAGCAGAGTTCGCGAATGTGGCTGGCGATGATGGCAACACCTTCGAAGCTTAGATGAAGACCATCAGCTGCCAACACACGTGTCAGGGGCAGCCAGTGGAGACCATGATCGATGAAAAAAACTTTCTTGGAGCGCCTACAGTAGTTGTGCAGCAGTCGGTTGAAGTACGTGGCTTCCATATTGCACCGGTAAACAAATGAAAGGTTGCCGTTGCCATTACGGCGGTTAGGGCAGCGTGGAAGAACGAGTGTTGCGTAAATCCTTGAAATGTGAGGCTTGGCGTTCATAACGTGCTCCAGCAGGGATCGGTATCTTCC